TAACAGTTATTCTGGGATCATCAATCCCTGAAGACACAACGGTGTTGACCCAAACCACATATTTGTCAGAGAGAGAGGTGGAGTTTTGTCTAAATTTAATAATGTTTACAAATATGACCTTTTTTTGAATATCAAACGGATTATTCTTTGCATTTTTTTTTACAAATCCACCCCTATCCAATAATATTTTGTAACCACTCTCATCAATATATTGATGACCATATGCAAAGTCAGTTTCACATAATAAATTTTTCATTTCTTTATTAATTTCAAGTAGCGATAAGCACATTTCTTTTGTAGCGATAATATCTAAATTTTTACATAAAAATAGGCCGGAATATATGGCACAAGACAGCTCTCCAAGTGAATCACAGTTAACACTTTCATGAAATTCTGCTAATGCATTATTTATAACAGCTTTATCAATTGGGCATGGCCAATTTGCATAGCGTTCTTTTAACAAATTAAAATCATCATCCATTTCCAAAATACATAATGGTAAGTTAGCCTCTCTCGCACGATTATCCTTTTCTATACGAATATATTGTTTTTCTATATGTTGTATTTTTCAGCATTTACACTTCTGCTCACTTTCATGTTGATGATAGTTTGCATTCATTCTTCTGGTAGTCTGCAATTGTTTACGCTTTAGCTTAAGGTCTCTAAAAAAAAGATTATATTAGCACATATTCAATTAACCAAAAAATAGAACATTTATTCTTACATAGCTAGATAAATATCAAAAGTAAAATGAGAAAATTTATTCATATATAGCTAGATAAATATCAAAAGTAAAATGCTCTTCTTAACAATTTGCCAAGGCCTCAAAAATAAAATTTAACGATCATATTAATTTATCGAAAAGTTCTCATGATCATATTTTCTGGTGAATATAATCTCTACAATCATATATATTATACATTTATACTGTAATTGATATATTATACATTTATAAATAAATTAGTTACATCAATATTCAATGCTAATTAATATACTAACAACTAAAATACTACCTCACTATGCATATAATTAATATATCTAATTGCTTAATCATGGATTAATTCAAATTTTAATATATGGCATATAATCATAGTCATCATGACATATATGCATGTGGACATAATATACATACAAACTGGTATATAGTATCGATATGCAGAAATTTCATACATACTAATTTTTCAAATTACCATTTTTATACATCAATGGTCGAATAATCTTCTCATATTCACACTACACATATGATAGCAACATATTTTTCTGAAATTACTAACATGACAATTCAATCGAATAATGATCAAAACTTACAAATGCACTTTAAATAACAAGCAAATTATCGCAACAATGAAATTATAATTACAAAATTCCAACTCTTTCCAAAAATGGATAATCAAAAATTGCTACTTTACTAAACAGAGTTTCACAAAAATTAGCATAGGAATAGTGAACACCAAAAAAAGTTAACAGAAACCATCCCTCCAAACTTCACATGATTATATAAGTATTATGATGATTTCATTATGGCATTAACCAGAAAATTCGAATAATTTCCAAAAACGAATAAATGAAAATCAATAACCCTACAAAATTAGGATTTTTTAAAATTTGTATAGGCCACACCCAAAAGTTGAACAGAACCATCTCTCACACATTTCATGTAATTGTACTGGTATAATATAATGGCAATATTTATATGATTATATAATTAATATAATTTGATATTGTTTATTACTATTTGACCAATAATTTTAAAGTATATCTTCCAAGATATTTTCAAATGAAAGGTATATCATTTTTAATATAATTGAGGATTAATTAATGATATTAATTTTTATATGATTTAAATTTTATTCTATATATTTAATAATAAAAAATCGACAAAAGTGTATTGTTATCAAATTGGATAATTGTTAAGATCGTCATCCAATCTTCTAAACAAAAGGTATTATCAGATATTTGAAATTGTTTTCTTTTTTATATATAAGTAAATAATGCCAAATATCTGATTATCATATGATAGTTTGTTGAATATCTTCTAAGTATATTTTGATATAATCAATTTCTTAATAAAGTAATTTTTAATTAATGCTATTAGAATAAATTATTTTTATTTAAATCATTAGGATTATATGCAAATTTACTAAGTGAAGATTAACTATTTTTTAATGTAATTAATCATTTAATTTATAATATAATAGTGATTTTTATATAATTTTATAATTAATATAATTTGATAAGGTGTGGCAACTTAGTGAAGTTGGCAAGTTGTCGCACCCCAAGCAGCAGGACTAGAGTTCAAATCCTACTGGCAACGAAAATTCGAATTTATAGAAATACATTTTGGAAGACTGTATCCTATTAGATTATAGAACATATAATGGTGGTGGTACTAGATTGTACTGGAAGGTAGTGGAACATGTAGTGTGATGTATGAGTTACACAAAACCCAAGTAAAGCTACCAGATAAATTCAGCGAATTTACAGGATATGGGAGCCTGCTTGGCAACACCCGAGTAAAGAGATAGCATAGATCTTTGACGGTTACTATATAAAGGATGATTAACTGGATACTGGAAAACCAGATGGAACCGAGGTGTTTAGCAAGGCACTATACCAACCAGGCCGTTGAATAACCAGATGAAGAGTTCTGCCCTTCTGGGCTATTGGATTGGGTTTTCAGAGATATGGGAGGGGTCCGTAAAGTAGGTACTGGGATTTGGATGAACTCTACAAAAGCAGTAATAGGTAACTATAGTGGCCTTGGCTCACAAGTACTTGTCTTTGGACTTGGTTTAAGTTATGAAAAGACCTAATCTGGAAATGTGTAGGACATAGAAAGATTAGAGTAGTATATACTACACCTTCCCTAGAGTAACCCGGTAAGTATGAGAACCCTACTGAGTTATCTACCAAATTAGAGCATAAGTAGTGTAGCATATATCGATCTAAGTGGTCTTTAATAAAGCAGCATGAGATTATGGGTTGGCGTAATTAAGGTGGTGGTGCAGGATGAGAAACATTAAAGAGTTTAATTAGATAGCTCAAGTAATAGTAGGTTATAGGCAAGGCATTTAGTATAGACTCTAGTAATAGGTAGCTACTTAATTAGATGCTCAAAAGGCACAGATATGGCTAGAATGTACTCTTGTTAACCAAGAATGTACTACTAATATACCTAATAAAAATTTGCCCTTTCACAACATTGTGAAGGTAAAAAAAAAAAAATATATATATATATATATATAATTTAATATTGTTTATTACTATTTGACCAATAATTTCGAAAGCATATTTTCCAATATATTTTCAAGTGAAAGATATATCATTTTTAATATAATCAGGGATTAATTAATGATATTAATTTTATATGATTTAATTTTTATTCTACATATTTAACAATGAAAAATTATCAAAAGTATATTGTTACCAAATTGAGTAATTGTTAAAATCTTTATCCAATCTTCCAAGTAAAAGATATTATTTTTAATGTACTTAGGGATTAATTAAAAAATTGGCAAAATGCATAACTACCATTTTTTGTAATTGTTAAAGGTATATTATATTTAATATAATCAGTTATTAATTAATGATATTATAGCAATTTTAATATAATTTTTTTATTGCTTAATAATGAATAAGTAAACTGTTTGAAGAAATATCTTCTATGCAAAAGGTAATTAATTTAATATAATCATTTATTTAATAAAGTAATTTTTTATTTTAATTAATGAATATTAGAATAATGAGTATAAGATTTAT